AATGAAAGTTATCCCAAGCTCCCCCTCCCCCCAGCAGAATAGCAGGCCCCAAAAGTAGAATATATGCAAGGGAAAACACAGAGGCTTTGGGAACCTGACAGTCACATGCCAGACAGATTCTCATTCATGGGCCTGATGCCCAGCCATATCTTTCCATTTCCTATATAGGGAAGAAAATCTGTGACCGCCCAGTTGAGGCTCGGGCGTATTGACCGTTATGATTCAGCAACATTTGGAGAGTCAATCTGTTTCTCTACCTTGACCTAGAATATACTTTTTTCCTGCATTTTTGCTTGTTTACAATTATACTTATAACTGTTGTAAGTTCAGCACCTTTCTGTATGCAGTTGAATCACCTGACAGCGAACAAGGTCTGTGTCAATTCAGAATCAAAAAGAAAAGAACACTTCAAAATAGGTTATAATAGGCTAAACACAGAGCTCTTGATCCTTTGCAAATGTATAGTATGCACTTTACAAGGAGCATGTACTGAATTTCTCATAGTTCAATTAAATGATCATTAAAAAGGCTGTAGTGATAATTGCTTCAGATAATTTCCAAACACCAATGGCTTTTTTCAACTATTTCAGATAAAAAAAGAGTTAAAGGTCTCAATTATTTTGCTTACATATTTCCATGAATACTGAAGTGTACACAAAATATAATCAGTATTGCTTATTTTCAAAATGAAGGCCACAGACATTTTAAATTTTTCTCTGGAATTTGGGGAAATAGGGGATTCCTGAAATCGTGTGAGAAGTTACAAGGATATCCTTTATGTGCTTTTTTTATTTGGCTGTAGCCAAATATTAACAAGCAGAATAAATAGTTCATTGTTCTGTTTTCGTTTTTTCTCCAAAGAACTCTTTATTTACATTAGAAAGTTATTTCCATGATTTCCAATATGAAAGTTGCTTCAGTCCCTCCCCCTTTAATCTTAGTCCTTTTTCTTGTAAAGGAATTCTCTTTTGCTTCTATAATTATTTGTTGAACCAGCTAGTCATTTTTAAAAGATATATGGGTAGTTAAACACCTCAAAGGAAATGAAATTAATTGCAAATCTTGCTTTTAGTACATTTCTTTTTTAAGACAATCATTTTTAAATTTGGTGTGAAGCAATATGGGATGGGGGGGAGAGAAGAATCTTAAAGATCAATAGGACAGTCAGATAATGTAAACGTAGTTACAAGTCTGGTCATAAGTCAGCTAGTACTTAGCATTAAAGCACTTTGTTTTTGGAATCTGAATCCAACTGAAGCCAGTCACATTAGTTTTAAAAGTAAGTCAGGAGATATCTAGTAAATCATAGGCCAACATTTATTTGGGGCAGGTTTTTGGAAACATCACTTGAATAATAATAAAAAAAGAGCGGAGCAACAAGTTTTGCTGAAGATAAATTAACATGGATTCAGCAAAGGGAAATGTTATCTTACCATGCACTTAGATAGAGGTGAGTCTTCCCCGTGATATACTTGAATTTCTAAATATTCCTAGCCGTGGATAGGCGGCAGGTTCTGTCATTTGATGGATTGCTGCATTGTTAAAAAGCAGGAAACAAAGAGAAAGAATAAATGGGCAGTTTTTCGGAAGCAGGAAGTGTAGTCTTCTAGGAATATGTGTTGGGTCTAAGCTTCTTAGTTTATAGATGAGTTACAGATTGATATAGGATGAGATTAGAAACCAGGAGACTGTATGTTCAAGTCCTATCTTAGCCATGAAAGCCAGCTAGGTGACTTTGGGCCAGTCACCTCACAGGTTTGTTTTTGTGGGGAAAATAGGTATGTGGGCTTGGTTTGCCACCTTGAGTTATTTGTAAAAATAATTTAAAAAAAAGATGGGATCCAAATAATAAAAAAGGATCTTTCTACTTATACAGTATCTACAGTTTATAATTATCTTGATATAAGATAATTCTCTTAATACATGATAGTGTATCAGATTTGCTGATACACCACAGAATTCAGGTGAAAAATAAATGATGGCGAAGGGCTCCATTAGGATCTCTCTAAACTAGATGAATGGTCAAATAGTACAATTTAAGTAAGTGAAAAGTGAATTTACATCAAAGTAACACTCTCACTTCATAAATAAACTAGTGAGATTTGTGTTTCTATGTCTAATCATAATGAAATTTAATGAGATTTAGTAGTAATTTAATGAAGATGTTCATTTAGCATACCCATTAGTGAAAAAGGCAAATTCCATAACTGCCAGCACTGTAACACCCTTATACAACTCTGTGGAATGTTTGCATTTGGAAAAGTGTATATCAACAATCAAATGGAGTTACTGAAACTAGCATTGAAACACTTTGTTGAAACTAACCAATGGAAAGTAGTTAGAAAGAAAAAAGAAAGGCATTTCTGTGGAATATATTATTATCAGTTCTGCTGAAAAACAATTCTAGTTCTTCCTTCTCAAAATTCCATTTTACTTTTCTCCTCAGTTTCTTATTTTTCAGTCATGACATTTAAAGTAGGAGCTTGAAGCAGATATAGTCTTTCTCCTACACACACAAACATACACAAACAAAAGAAAAAAAATTATCTGTGGTGATATCCGGTATTGATGGCTCTTGATTAAACAGAACACAAAAAGAAACATGTTTTCAATTTTGCTCACCAGCATATCAAGATTTATTTTTCTATTATGCTTCAGCTTAGACACGAACATTAGCATGGATCACTATCCTGGATAGCAATGAATGAATGAATGAATGAATGAATGAATGAATGAAAATATAAGTTGTGACTTTATGTGTTTGTGTAGAAACAGGAGTCTGCACAGTCGGAAAGTAAACAGAGGATTAAAAGAATAATGGAATGCTCATTATTAGTACTATTGGACAAGCAAAATAATTCAAGGAAACTTATCAATATTTTCCGTATTATCAAATGTAGTTTCTGCCTATGAATGCTGACCTATTTCTTTTCTTTTTGATATTTTATGCTTTATAATTCCAAGGGAAACAGCAAACTATAAAAATAATGAAATATGTATTATTCTGCTTAGTTGGACTTATTTAATGTGGTATAAATTGTGATTTCTAGAGTTTTCTGGTTAAATAGATTCTTGTTGGTAGGCTTGTATGTGCATTACATTTTTGCAAGTTTGTCCATCCATTGCTATCTCTTAATATATTCATTCAATAAAGCACATTAGTTCTCCATTTGTTTCACTCAGATTCTGACTTCCCACAAAAAAGGAAATCTTTCTTCTTTTCTTGTTTTAATATATGGAATTTAGTAGAAGACCCTGACGCTGGGGTTTAGAAAGATTGTAAAACTTAAGGGATCTGCCTGTACTAGTTTCTTGAAGACTGTCAGAAATATCGGCCTAAACAATATGTATATTGGCAGATACCTCCTTCAGGATCAAGCTGAATAGATTTAATAAAACAGCACTTTGAAAACCTCTGCTTTTATATGACATGGCATTATTGCTGCATTTTCTTTAAAGAATGGTTAAGGGAAAACCCTAAGCCAGAGCTAATCTTGGTGCTTATTCACCTCCCTCTATCTATCATAATCAGGCCCTTATTCCAACAGCTTTTCCAAAGTGAACTCCCATTCAGATAATTTTCCTTAGTCATGAGAAATAACTTAACTCTTTAGTAACAGTCATCCATTGCAATATTATTGGGATAATTCTGCTTGCCTATTTCTGTGTCTTCTGCTCCTGGCTTTTGTTTTAGATTGATATTTACTGTTCATTTTGAGATGATTCAGAAAATGGGGTGATACTTTTAATTGTTAATACTTTTAAAAAAATAAAAGAACACTTTATGACAAAATATAGCATGATAATCAAAGATCCTCCTATAAATTCCATAAAGTTTGGTTGGACTTTCTTTTAATAATTAGGGATTACTCTTTAACAGAAATTGAAGGTCCTTTTTTTAGTTATTATCATAGTGGCAGTTGCAGGATTTGTGAGCGAGTGCTTTTCTTAATCACTTCTGTAATGAATTCATGTTCTATCGATAGCCTCTTTATACTCTCATCATCTTAGTGAATCCCAGTCCACCTATATTATTTCCACTCTACACCTTTTTTGTATGTAAAATTCTTTCAGAAGTTTTAAGAGTCACGTGAAAGTGTTACACAACCATTTATAGTAGCTATTAATTAAAAAAAATCAGTTAACTATGAAATTGTTACATTGCCAATTTGTATTTAGAGATCCTATTTGGTCTAGTGCAGATGTCCCCAACCTTTGGGCCACCAGGGACCATTTCAGTGAAGAGAGGTTTTTCCGCGGACCAGAGGATACGTGGTTTTTGTGCTGCCTACATCGTATGGATGGGGCTTTCCTTGCTTGTGCGGACCGGTTGCTGGCATGCCGCAGCCCGGTAGTGGTCCACAGACTGTGGGTTGGGGACCCCTCATCTAGTGGCTAAGGTATCAGGCTTGAAAGGGGGATAGTCCCGCCTTATCCTTGAAAGCCAGCTGGGTGACTTTGGTCAGTCACTCTCTCTCTCTCAGCCCAAACCACTTCACAGAGTGATTGTTGTGAGGAAAATGGGAGGCGGAAGGTATGTTGGATATGCTTGCTGCGTTGAGCTATTTGCAAAAGTAATAAAGGCAGGCTACAAATAAATAAATACATAGAAATTAACCCATATGTTTGAACAGACGTGGATTTTCTTCTGATAGACTTCAAACGTTGATTGAAAAAAACTTACTGTGAACATATTGTTGATAAAGTCCACTGTTTTCTATTTTCAGGAGGAAGATAGCTGAGTATAAAAATGTACATTTTCAAGGCAACATTTGTGTGGGTTGAGGGGAATATTTTCCCATTATATTTTCACACTTTTTTGCTGTGCTTCATTGAGATAAGTGCTGATCCTTTCTTTTCTTAACAATTTGAATGTGCACATGCATAACAAGAATTAAATATTGATAGAAAGAAGTGCAAAAGGTAAGATCACCTGAAAGTTTGATAGGTTTTTTTTAAATATATGGTTTTTTATTTTCTTTTTTTCTACCACATTGCAGATCTCGTCTTGCAGACTTTTTCACAAACTGCCAGCCTGAGTCACGGTCTGTTAGTAGCTGCCTGAAAGAAAACTATGCTGACTGCCTCCTTGCTTACTCAGGACTTATTGGTAAGGCTTATTTGGGGAAAGGATCTTTTTTAAAATATATATATATGTAAAATATGCTTTGTGGTTTGATATCAACATGAGAAAGCAATAAAGATAAAAACAAAATGCATGGATAACTTGAAGATTCCACAAAAGAGTCTTTAAGTTATCCATGGCTATCCATGACTGTTTTAAAAAATGAAAACTTATTTCCACGAACGATAATCTCATACATAAAGAAGCTAAGATTAAATGAGCACAAATAGGAAAAAGGCTGGCACGGGATTGGAAAGGTGGTTACAGAAGGAAACATACTACATACATACACCACTTGCAAGAATTATTTTTTATCCAACTTTAGTTTAGGTTACATTATCCCAGCCTAGCACAGACATTTCAAACTCGCGACATCACATGACGTTGTGCAACATATCGGGACAGTTTTGCCATTGCTGGCAGTGGGGTGAGTGCGGCTTCCGGATGATGCGTCCATCCCACGGGCCGGCAGTTTGACGCCCCTGGCCTAGCAGTTCATTACTTTGTAACTGACTACTTCAATTCATTCACATAATCTTAACAAGGGAATATCGCATAACTAGATCTTCTTTGAAAAAAGGGATGAATTATTTTATAAAATATAGGACCGCCATTGCCATTTTCTTCTGTAGTTTTGTTTGTAGAATATAGCCAATGTCATCTTCCTTTCAAGGTCATAGAATACCCCATTACTTTGTGGAACCGCCTTTTCCAAACTGGATGTCATCCAGAGACAGAGACTATAATTCCCAAAACTCTGATCCTTGCCATGCTGACTAAAAATCCTGAGACCTGAAGTTCATACTTTGCAAGGAATTTACATTTAGGAAGACTGCTGTAATGAACATGTCAGGGAATTGCATAACAGGTGTCTAAATGAAGTCAAAGACGCTGATATAAACTTGTAGTTTTATATAAATAAATATATTTTACATATCTAAATTCACCAAACAAGGTAGTCAGGCAGATGATCATCATCAAACAAGATCATCAGGTAAATCACAGAGCACACAGGTACACAGAAGTAAAAGGCAGGACAAAAGGGAAACTCCACCCTCTACACCCACAGCAACCAATCACAGCACAGATTGCCTCACGCAGGAGCCAGCAATCTCAAGCCAATCAACTATTTTTTTAATTTAGTTTTATTCATTTATAACATAAAATGTGAAAATACAAAAGCAAATAGTAGGGGACAATAGTAGAAAAAGGTGTGAAGAAAGGGTGGGGAGAGAAACAAAAGGCATTGATTTCCGACTCTCTCTGTTGCAGTAAAATCAGACATTACAATCAAATCTCAACATTTTATATTTCTATAGTAGTATGCACTAGCCATTTCTGTATCGGCAAATCAGTCTAATCAGTAAAACCCAAAATCATGATTTCATTTTTTTCCACCTCAAGCACAAAGTCCAGATGCAGTTTCCAAGTAGAAACAAAAGTACTTATGTTCTTTTCTTTTATCAGCACAGTCAACTTGGCCATCTCTGCTAATTCCATCAGCTTTTGTAACCATTCGTCCATGGTAGAAATCGAGGCATCCTTCCACTTTTGTGCATAGAGCAATCTTGCTGCCATCACCATATATAAAATCAGAGTTCCAATTTTTTTCCCTGTTCTCTTTCCATTAGACCCAGAAGAAAAGTTTCTGGTTTAATCTTTATGTTCACTTTAAGAATTTTCTCCATTAATATATGAATCCTACTCCAATATGTCTTTGCCTTATTACATGTCCATCATAAATGATAAAAAGTCCCTTCTTTACATTTAGATTGCCAACATTCATCTGAAATATCTTTATACATTCTAGATAAATCATCTGGTATTAAATACCAGTGATACATCATTTTGTAAAAATTTTCTTTTTGGTTATAATTTAATGTGAATTTTAAGCCTTTTATCCACATATTCTCCCATTGTTCAAGTATCACATTATACCCCAAATTCCTTGCCCACTGGATCATACAGTGTTTTACATGTTCATTTTCCAAATTCAGTTTTAATAACATTTTATAGACCAATCAAACCAATCAACTATAACTATGTGTTCTGGCTTACTGCATAACCCCACTGCTCCAGCTACTAAATTTAAATATCTTAACAGAACATGTTTCATCAGCACACCTTGTAAATACTCTTAGTGTGACTTGCCTTCATTTTAGGAGTTTCACCATCCACCAGAAGCTCACAATGTAATGGATCAACAACAGTGATGTTCTTATTGCAACATTGGTTGTGTTATATGAAAGCTAGTCTTTTCAGCATTAAAATGGCAGTGCACATAAAATATGCTCTATTTTTTTAGAGATATTAGTACTATATAGGCCTTCAGAACACTTAATTGTGCAGAGACAATTTCCTGCCATCTTATATGAGAGGCTAGCTGAGAGCAATTATAAATGGCTTTGTTAGCAGAAATCCAGGACAATTGGGATTTCCAGTGATGGGGATGCCTGTATTTATATTTGGCTGATACAGTGGTTATGATCTTATCTAGTTTTCCTGCTCAAACTAAGAGGATCTGGATTGGAAGGAGTGGTGCCCAGTTACAGTTTTTCTCCTTTATGTATATAAATATGAAAAATGAACAGAAATATACGTAACTAATATTACCCTATGTCTCTTTATATCAAGATTTTGAATTTCCCCCAGTCAATTTGTATATAATTATAAAAAAACATTTCTTGTACTTTTTGAGTAAAGATAAATAAATGGGATGAGTAATAAATTACAAGTCTCTCACTTGGTTTTCCATTTTTCAAATTCTTTGATAGATAAATCATTATTGTCCTTATTATTTCACTTATTGAATAGTTTGGCAAATTTGTCATTTCCAACAAAGACAAAAGTCTTTTAAGTTTCATTTCTTACATAATATTTAGTTCTATAATGCCACCTACTTCGGTGATTATCTTAGTTTTGACAGTAAATATATGTATGTGAATGAAATATGATGAGTAAATAACATAAAGGCTGCAAATTTGATTTGTTTCAAGTTCAGAGTTTGCACCTGTCATGAAACATTTCTTGTTGTTTCTGGAAGGTGAGAAAACAACAAATCGGATTCATATAGGTATTAAAGAAATCTTTTCTGACAATCTGAGTAAAAAAATGTCAATAAAGGTTATCTTATCTTATCTTATCTTATCTTATCTTATCTTATCTTATCTTATCTTATCTTATCTTATCTTATCTTATCTTATCTTATCTGCTTGTTCAGAAGGACAGGCAGATAGCCGGACAATAGGAAATACAGGAAAAATTTCAGAATAACTGATACGTCAGCAGCCAGAAGCCATGATGTTTAAGTAGCCACTGAAAGTATTTAAATATATTCAAGATAATGGCACTTCTGTTTTCCCAATTAAACAACGTGTCTTTTTGCAATTTTTTTGCTCCGGAACCAGCAGGTGTCAAAAGAAATGCTGTCACACCATTGAACATTGTCTTCTTCTTAGACCAAAGTAATAATATAGGAAAACTGCTTTGTCTACTCTCATTACACTCATTACACTGAGAAATTTGCAGACCACACAAAAAAAAATCTTTTAAAAAATTCAGTCTTTCAGTTGTGTTTTTGGCAAACCAGACCAACCATCAGCTTAGAATACTAGGTTAAATTGATTATTGTAATGTTGTATATTAACAGTTTGGTTGTGTTGCAACTGGTTCATTTTTATTATGGTGTTTTTGCCCAGGTTTTTGCCCATGAGGTGGGTTTTTTTTTTTGGAAGATACCATTTCAAACTATTTTCTATTTGCTGAAATTACACATTCAAAAATCTTATCATGGAATACAATTAATTGTATTATGAAATTTAATATTATGTATTCCAGCTCAAATATTGACAATTATTCATGCTAAAATCACCACAATTTGCTTGCATTTCTTTTTTTCTTCAGTACTGTATCCTTTAGTTTATCAGTCAATGCTCACAGTTAGATTAACCACTGCTAACAAAACAAACCAGTGTAAAATATTTACTCATGTAAATACTAAATGGCAAATTATCCATACAAATCTTCCACAAATTAACTACAGTAAACCATTTCTTAAGATTCTTCTTCTAAATCAGAAGGGACCATGCCTCTTCTCTCTCCAGGAAGAGTTCTAGACTGATGGGATTATTACAAAGAGGCCCCTCTCTGAAAACCATGTGACTAAATATTGTTGCCACTTGTCACCAAAGAATAGTTGTTGGAAGCCAGTGATCATCACCTTTCAAAATAAAGCTAAACATATGACCATTACACAAAACTATGTTTAAGCAACTATATTGGCCCCAGATGATAAAACTCTAGGCCCTAAAAAAAAAGAAGAATGTGTTCCCACAAGACAACTGTTTGCTCAATCTGTTATCATTTGGCCACGTTAGAAGCTAACAGTATTATTTGTTTTGGTATGTACTGCTACAAATTCCAGATTGAATAGGACCTTTTTTTATTTCTTATACTTCCACATATCAACAAACTGTGATCCATTCCTGCTTATTAGCTATCCTTGTGGGCAAATGTATATGTCAACTGGATTACACATATACAGTTGTTTATTTATTGGGCTGCCCATTCCAAATTCATGACCCTGGGTGGATAACAATCTTAAAATAAAATATGAAAACAGGAAAAAAACAAGCAAAGAAAGAACAGCTGAAGTAATAGACAAACTCATTTATCTCAAATCAACATGACCAATGTACAGCTCAGCCACACTTCCTGACTCCCAGGCCTTGTCACATATAATAATGATATATAATACTGTAACAGTATAATGCTGTTAGCCTGGGATTGAGTATAACGCATCTCCCTTTGAATAATTAAAATAGCTTCAAACATTTCTGAAAGCAGACTCTGGAAAAAAAGGCACAGTTACTTCAACAATTTGAAAAGAATTGCTTTGTATATGTTTCCACATGATGTGGAACATCTCTTGCAAACAGTTTGCATAATGAGGAGGAGGAGGAAGAGCAGAAAGTCTTCACTCTATCTTTTATTTATTTGTTTCATTTATTTATCTAATTTATATAGCCGCCCATCTGACCAAATGTAAGTCTGGGTAGCATGCAACATAGCTAAAAACAATGGATAAATATGTAAAAACCCTGTAATTATTTATGGTTTATTAAAACTTATGAAAAACTATAAAAAACAACAAGGGAATAACAGAGGAAAGTATTCTGTCACATATTTAGTTAAGTATTCACTGGCCCCTGTATGTACATGAACACTTAAACCTTTGTTGCAGAGTACACTGTGGTATGCAAAGTCGATCATCTGAATTATCAGTCACAATCACAACCATCAGTTTGACCAAACTACTGTATGTGTGGATTAAAAGCAATATTCCATTCTGTATTTTGTTCAACAGTGAACAGATTAATACATCTTGTTTGCTATACCACATGGGTTATAAAATCAATGTGGTGAACTAGACCAGGTGTTCAAAAACTTTGAAAGTTCTCCAATTTCTTCTTTTCCAGAATATGGTTTTAAATACACATACACACACAGAGAGAGAGAATATATTCTTGCTTTAATGGTTCTAGCCTGTTTTATTTAATATCCCTTTCCATTTCTCATGTCTGTGAAGAATCTGCCCTTAGAAGCATTTCCCATAGTAGCTCCCTTTTCTTGAATTCATCAATTTCATTCTGTGTTTTCATTTGGAATAGCTTTATTTCTGATGATATAAATTGTGCACCAGATACAATATCTAGCTGTTACTGTAGTGTTCATTTGAATGGGAAAACTTTATTAGTCTTTTTGTTCCTGATTGCGGTATGCATGTGACATAAGAGTCATTCTTCAATTTAGCCCTCCTATTTATCTTTCATCAAGCCTTGATTAATAGGACTTGTAATAGTTGTTTGTTTGTCTGCATTCTTCCATCTGCATTTCATTAATTCAAAGCTCTGTTACTGAAGTTTCCCGAGCTTCTGTAGATAGTAGGCAGTTATCATACTAGTGTTATTTGCCAGAATTTGCAAATGGATCCAGAAAGTAGGTTTGCCATCTTATTCAAAAGAGTCTAATAGCAATTCAAGAGTGTGAAATTGATGAGTATGTCCTTTTGTACATAAACCTGATTCCCATCCGACTATGGTAACTATTAATTTCATTGTGATTCAATTCTTTTACACAATTTCAGCCAGAGTCCTAGTGAATTAAATTATGCCTATTACAAATCAAGAAAATAGTGAACATATTGCTAATAGGGGTCAATAATTTTGTACTGAAATATTTTTTTTTCCAAGAACTCAAAAAATGTTGTGAAACAGATTTTTTTCCTGCTTTCCAGTTTCACATTATATTTTTAATCTGAATATTTAACCACGCTACTATTACCACATAATTATTATTACTTCATCAGAGTTGCTGTTTAACTATGCTACTTTTTTCAAATATTAATGTGTATCATGAATAACATATCTCTAGCTAAACTCTTCCGAAGTAAGTTACTTCTCTTTTAGAGTATAATTCCCAGAATTCCAAGGCAATGTAGCCAACAGCTGGATGTTACAAACTATCACATCTGGACTGCATAATGTTGGAGAAAGCTGCTTTGCTGTTGCTCCAAATTTTTGAAATATTCCAATATGTCCATATGATATTCTGTACTTTCAAAAGTGTAATTAAAGTATACTTTTTTTCTCTGTAGTAAAAACAAGCACTTTTGTTAGTAATCATCAATATTTTCCTTCTTTTTGTGTTTCTACCACTCTCAACTCATATGCTATTTCTTGTACTGGAGTGGTCCTGAGCAACCATGTGAAAATGGTGATAATACTTTAGATTCGCAGGGTGCTTTTTGTTATATTATAATTTTTATTTAAGATTACCTAGCCCTATTGGTTATTCTTCAGGACCACAAAATAAATGAAACTGAATAATGATTTCTGTTACATTATTTCTACATTAGTAGTAAATGCTAAACTCTTTTTGAGATCTAGTTCTTTACTTAAAATAGTACTTTATTATATGAAGAATAGCCAGTCTGAAGATTCAGATATTTTTCACTGATGCATTAAAGCAGTTAGTGCTGGACTCATAGTGTCATAATCAATCAAGCCACATTTACCACAGAAACATACACAGATACACAGCCAAAGATGCTTTTTCATGAGGCAACTGGACTTTCTTGTTTTTCTTTGAAGATGTTTCGCTTCTCATCCAAGAAGGTTCTTCAGCTCCTTCAGCTTCTTATTCAGCTGAAGAAGCTTCTTGAATGAGAAGTGAAACATCTTCAAAGAAAAACAAGAAAGTCCAGTTGCCTCTTGAAAAAGCATCTTTGGGATAACTATGACCTGGATGAATAACAACAACAACAACAACAACAACAACAACAACAACAATAATAATAATAATAATAATAATAATAATAATAATAATAATAATAATATAAAAAGGGATCTTGGATGTCATCTAGTCCAACCCCCTGCTCAGGCAGGAAATCCTATACCATTTCAGACAAATGGCTGTCCAGTGTCTTCTTAAAAACTTTCAGTGTTGGAGCATTCACAGCTTCTGGAGGCAGGTTGTTCCACTGATTAATTGTTCTAACTGTCAGGAAATTTCTCCTTAGAATCTCCATAGACACACAGATACACATAATCACACAGACACACACAGAAAAACACCTCCAAATTTTTCAACTGAATATGTCTGAAAGCTTGATTATGTAAATCTATGTTTCTTCCGTCACTATAATATTCATTCATACTTTTTTCATTGTCTTGAACAATAATGTTGGTAACAGATAATATATACAATTAATAAAGATAAATCAATACTGGGTATTGAAAATCATATAGACAGCTCTCACTACTGGATTTCTATAGCCCAGTTTCAATATTTTATTAACTTATTGATCCAGAATGTCTTTCTCATAATATTTTATATTGTTCATATATTTTGATACCATTATAAATTTATTTATATAGATATATTTGCATTACAGTATTCATGAACAACTGCTTTTCCAATACCTTATTGGATGTCTTTTTATGCTGTCATGATTATGTATGAATTATTATCTAAGATAGTTTTAACTTATCTAGCAATACCTGATTTTATAGAAATTTTAAATACTCCATTTATTTGATGTTATGTATAATATTTGGGGGAGGGATTGTGTATAGGAACAGAGCATTTATAGAACCTGTATTTAAATATGTTGTGTATATCTTTGAGTAGCCTTTTGGATTTATACAGTAAGTATTGACTGATTTAAAAAATGGTCACATAAAATATTGTTCTTGATTTTTTTTCAATAGGCACAGTTATGACACCGAATTATTTAAATTATAATAATCTCAGCGTTGCACCATGGTGTGATTGCAGCAGCAGTGGCAATGACCTAGAAGAATGTCTGAAATTTCTTAATTTCTTCCAGGATAATTCATGCCTTAGTGAGTACCACATTTATGTGCTATGAAACGATTCCAGGCCGATACAATCATGTATACTGAAATTATAAATATGAGATCTATTTACATAACAAAGATGCAAAGATTATTTTCTCAGGTTCATTATTTCAAGGAGGCAAATACTCTGTAAAGGTAAAAAAAAAATCTAAATCACTTCCTGCACAATATATTGTTGTTGTCCTTCTCTTTGACCAACTCTGAATCCCTAACCATAATCGTAAATCAAAATCGCTGTATTTAGATATCATCTCAAATCTGCTCTCCATGAACTTTTTTTTTTTAAAAAAAGAAGTTGTTTGTGCATGATATTAGATGTGTGCATGCCATTGGTTAAGCAATACTAATAAGAGATTTCATGTATTTAGAATCCCATGCAAAAAATTGACCCAGCCTGAATTATTAATACCAAACAGGAACATTTTAATATATGTTCTGATTAAACATTTAATATATTGTATACTACATTCTTTAGTGAATTTTAGTACAATGTGTTCTACATGGTGATATGAGCTTGACATTTGTTTTCCTGATATGTATAATATTACATAGAGTATACAACATCCATATAACATATTATAGGAGAAGGAATGGCAGAACCTGGAAGCAAAGTCAAAAGAGGAATCAGCCTAGTATCTCTACATAGCCAAGTCCAACCCCCCCTGACTCACATTAACCCCTATCTACTGCCAAAATAGTGCTAACCATTTAGTTGAGTAGATTCCTGTGCATAGGCATGAGTAACAAATCAGTTTATTTGGAACTTCATGTGTAGTTCTGGTCTTTTTTGTGCCTGACCCATGTCTCTTTATGTACAATGGAAAAATATTTTCAATATAATTGAAATCAGCACTTTATTTCAGGCTTATGCACTCTGGTCTTCTCCTGTGGCATAGCTATTCCATTTGAATGTTTGGTTGCTATTTCCAACCAGCTTTTATTTAGTGTCACACATAATGCTAACACATTAATATGTTTTAGTGTGGGAGAAAAATAAGCAGAGCCGGAGGGGGCAAAGTTAAGTGAGTCATCAGCCTAGAGCACGGGTGTTAAACTACAGGTCCGCGGGCCGGACGGATCATCCGGAAGCCACACCTATCCCATTGCCAGCAATGGAAAAACCGTCCCGTTACATTGCACAACGTCACGTGACATCGCGAATTTGACATGTCTGGCCTAGAGTCTAAGTTCAACTCCTCTTCGGTTGATCCTTATTTACCGCCAATTTAGCTTTGAACATTAGTTGACTAGGTTCTTGTGTATAGACTTGAGCAATTAATCTTCTTTTTTTTTTTCAATATAAAATTTTTATTGTTTTCATCATAAAAAAAACAACACCAGTATTACACAATATTAT